AATGCTCATCAGCGTGCAGTTTTTTAAATATTTCATACTGCTCATGAAGGACTAAAATACAAAAAGATGGCAAGAAAATAAAGCAGTACGAAGAGACACTTGTGGAACATTTTATGAAGATTTTCACACTTGGATAAGCAGTTGTTGTAAAGTGATAATTTATCACATCGAATGTTCTTCCTTTCAGCCAAGGAGTATTGCAAGGTCATATTTCCATACGAAGCACAGAATGATGATGAACTCACAATCCGAGAAGGTGATGTCGTCACACTTATCAGTAAGGTAAAAGCAACATTTTTGTCCTATAAGCAGGGATCCAGTTTTTGAAATCGGCATCATTCAGTTGCCATAAAGTCTTTATTTGTGCCTTTGACAGACCTTCCTAAAACAATGCTAGTTTGACAATGAAACGTTACATAGACTTCAGAGAGCCCTACATCTCCCTTCCTTTTGTGCTTAAAGACTTACCTTGATAATGTTAAGTGAAGAACAGCAGACATGTACTGTTGAGTTTACAAGTTTATACAATTAATTTTAATTTGAATCTGCTGCCAGATATACATAAATTGTAAATTGATCCCTGTCACAATCATAAAAGCCTAGAGAATAAACAAGAAAATTAAATAACAGTGCCAGGATTTATACTAAATTTCCAAAACCTGTACAGCAAGATGGTGAGTAAACAGTTGGTTTTCTTTCAGAAGAGCTGTGCACCATGTTACAAAGGATGGATTATAGTTCAGGTGCACTCAATTTCTTGCTCTTGTTTAAAGACTGTAGTTTGTTTAAATGTTTTTGACTGCTGGACATAAGTATTTGGGGAAAAAAAGCTGCAAACTAGAAAAGGCTGTGGATTTTGCATTATGAAGACGAATTGTAATGATGCACACTAGTGCTGTTGTTGTTTGCGCTTATATGAAGGTGAAAGAATGGATTCTATAATTGATAATCTGTAAGAAATTGTTACTTGACTGAGCAATTTGCCACCTGGGCGGAAAGTCCCGAAAACCTTGGGAAATACATCTGAGGTAGTGTTTGCTATATACTAAGCTATTTGTAATCGTAGAGGACATCTTCTTTGTCCTGAAGAATATACATGTAACCAAGGAAAAATAATCAGACATTTAGTAGGAGGAGAAACTGCAAATTTAGGATATAAATTGTGTACATTAAATATCCTTTAATGACTTGCACTCAATGATACGTTTGTTTAGCTTGTCTTGAAAACTGTTTGGCTTTGCCTGATTTCAAATGTTCTTGTGTGGCTATTTAACAGTGTCTCTGATCATGGAAAAGGCTTTTAAGATGTTGTTCCGCTCCACTTTATGCTTTATTGACCAGGTTGATTTTATTCTCTGAGATGGCTGGTCTCCAGGTGGAGCTGTGTTCTTCAGCGTACATAGATAAAGAGACAGTTACTTTGCTGAGGTTTCAATATGAGATTTCATTTGTTTGCTTTTTCCCATTTTCTTCCTGCTGCCTCTGCCCCACAGTGGAAGGATATTTGTGTTTTATAATGACTGAGCTGATGATATGACTGAATTGATCAGTTTTCCTAACCATGCAGGGAGAAATTTGTCAGTATATTCTCTAGTATGATCCCCCTGTCCTACTCTTCATCCTGATTGTATCAAGCCGCTGAAGACATTTTATTCAGTTTTCTTCCTTTTACTGTGGTATGTCACATGTCTATCAACAATTACCTAAAACCATGCCTCTAGAGAGTGGAGGATCTCAATGCAAAAAGGCTTGGCATTTCTCTGTGGATGCTTTTTTATGCTGTGTCTGAACTAATTTGAGGTACTGAAGAAACAGTGCTTAACATGCAGGCACTCAGCAGATCCTTTTCTGGTTTGCAGACCTCATTGCAGTCAGACTTGCGGGGTTTTTGATCTGTTTTTAACAGACGATTTAAAAAATAAAATTCAAGTGATGGCGAGTCAGAGTCCTTGCTGTAGAGTTCTGAAAACAGGGGGATCTCCTCCATGCAAAAAAGTAACTTTATTTTAGTCCGGATCTTCTGAAGGAGGTGTCTGTTGTAATTTTTCTTTTAGTCAGCAGTAACAATGTCAGCCTCACCTTTCTACCCACTAATGGCTTCTGCCAGAAAGTTGCCTTTTACCTAGAATTCAAATCACTGTGCTTAGAGAGTGCTTTCCATAACCAGTTAGTGATCCATACTAAGAGGAATTAAATAGAAACATATGGAATACTTCAGAAATTATTACCATGGTTTTGCTTTGCTATCACATTACAGAGTTTCTTTTAATCTGTTTACAAGAAATTATTTTGCGGGGTTTGCTTTCTATGCTGGAAAGTATTAGAATTTGTTCTTCCCAATTACTTAGACCCAAGGAGAGAAGATTGTTACTTTCAAAGAAAGAGATGGGTGTTGTAGTACTTCCTACAACCACAGATGCATCATCATAAAATAATATATTTTGCTGAAATCATGAAAGCAGAAAGTGATATAAATTCTCAGTATGAAAAGTCCCTCACTAGACTAATCTATTTTCACACAGCCAGATCTGTGGGAATGTTGAAGACTCGCAATTTTAACTCGTATTTAGTTTGCATTTAATTGCAAACAGTGGCATTGGTGAGAATGTGTGGAAGTGACTGAAGTAATGAGTGATTGACACAAGAATGGGAGAGAAATCTCATGAAAATAAGGTAAAAAGCATTACAAGAATCTTAAAAGCGTGAAGATGAAATAGCACTTGATAGGTGCTAGGAGGAAGGGGACTTAAATGAGCTAAATGATAAGTTACTAGAAGAGCCTGTCTATTGTGCATGCACATGTGAGAATATGTTTGTGTGGAAGCTGTTAGTCTGGTATTCATCTTAAAATGCTAAAATTTTATTTTGTGGAAAGAATTACAAAGGAGTAGTATCGTAAATGCAAAATTCAAAATCACCGTTTTAACAATGCCCTTGCAGATAAAAGGGATAAGGTTATCTCACGTTTCTCTTTTTTTCAGCTACATTAGCTATAGAAGTCCCTTTCTCAAGATCATCAAATATCTAGCTAATATAAAGAACAAACCAGTGTTTTTTTGTCATGGCCTTGGCAGAACCTGTTTCAAGTTCTCACTCTGTTTTGATGGTTGTTGAGATCTTGAATCAAAAGCTGATCAGAGCTCTCCTGTAGGCCTCAATGATAAGGGAATTTGAACATCTGAGATTTTTTATGAAATAGCTAAAGAATACTTTGAATGGATTTGCTGAATCAAAAGTGACTTCCCTAGTCACTTGGAGAACGTGCTGGTAAGTTTTATTTAGACACTGAAATGAGTCAGGAGAGGCTGATCATTTGCTGGTCGGAATGGTGTGTATTTTGGGAGGTACAAGGGGAAGGATGGCATTATGCAAGAACGATAGCCAAAAATAATTGCAGAGTATACAGCATATCGAGTCAATTTTTGATGAAACATATAGACCTAAATCATGGAAAAGATACACCATAACATAGAGTCCAAACATATGGTAGTAATAGTTGTTTTATCATAGGTTAAAAGTTACCTAAATGACTAAAAGAAAAGCAGAAACTAACTTCACATAAATGTATTCCAGAAATTTCTAGAAAAGGTTTTTCTCTCCTGTTTTTCACCAGTGAAGCAAATACCCTTGTAGATAGATAGAAAAGGTTTTATTAATTACTGGAAATGTAAGTGGACAAATGATAGTCCTTTAATTCCTTCACGCGAAATACTTAAAAGATAAAAGACCAAAAAACATTGCTCAGAGTTGTAAAGGAAGGTAGAGACTCCATCTTCAAGGCAATAAAACAGTGGACCTGGTGCCTTTGCTTTGCAAAAAGGGGTCTAAAAAAATATACCTTTGGAAGAAAGAGAATGAAAAGCAAAATACAGTAATTTTACTTGTACAGTTAAGGTGATTGTTGTGCAATTTGATGATAAGATACGTTCATAAGCTGAAAAGATATGAAGGGCAAGAGGCCATGAGATTGACCATGTAGGTTTTTCTTTTTAATGTCAAACATTTGTGTTCCTTAGGTAATTTTTTTAATGTCTTCAAAATGTTCCTGATGGCATTTGGGTAAGGACGAGAACACTGGTAGTGACTGCACTGTGAGGCTGTCCTTCAGGTGTTTTATTGTGCTCAAATACTGAGTTTGGAGATTGTACTTGTAATAAATAGAGTTGCTTTTAAGCAGCAGAAGATTCACATGACATTTTCAGCTGTCATCTTGAAAATCTTCTAGGATTTTTCATTCCAGCACTTTTAGATATAGCTGCTGTAGGCTACTTTCCAGTATTAATAAAGACTCTTTATACAAACACTACAGATTTCTTAGTAGCTCTAATAAATTCTGACAAAATACGTAGGATCCTGGAGGTTTCACTGGCCTACTGAAAATGACCTGTGTGAGGAATCAATAGTAATAGCTAAATAATTTCAAAGCAAATACATCGAGCACACACTGGCAGCTGTGCACTCATTTGAAAGCAGATTTACTTGTGAGAGTGTGAAAGATTCCATAGCACTGCATCAATCTACCTAGGCAGTAAAGACCACTTTGTTCCCAGGATGAAAATGGTCTGGATAAATAAAATTAACTACTTCAAAAATCATTGCCAATTTGAAAAGAGAATCCTCACCTGAACCCTTATTATTGGAGTAGGAGCAGTTGAGGTCAGTATCAGTGGCAATTCTGCTAATTCTCTATTTACAAGATGTTGAAATTAGTAGGTGTCGATATATCAGCTGGAATAATCATCTTGTGCCTTGCTCTGCATATCCCACCTGGCTTTCTCTTGGTCTCCACCTGCCTGGATTGCAAAGCCTTTCTTCCCCTGCTACAGGCTAACAGCTGAATGTGTGGCATTAGTGGTAGGAACATGTTACACTGAAGTGATGGGTGAACATAATAGGGGGTCCTTTCTGACTTTGCAAAGGAACTTTCATGAGGAGGCGAGTATCATGGAGGGTGTCCAGCCTCCTCGTGTTCATCAACATTGTCTGAAGGATTAATGAGGTGAAGAAGAAAGCAACAGTGATGTACAGCCTCCCAAAAATCTTGCTGATGCTTTTCAAATAGTACTGGGAAAGCTGATGCATCAGTATCCTAAAAGACACAACAGGATAATGCCTATCACGAGTGAAAGACTTACATGACAAATTATCTGGTCTAGATATTTAATGATAATCCAGATATTTAATGGCAATCTAATTTGTAGTGCTTAATTCTGTGTTGGGGAAAGAAGAGCCATAAACCTAGTTTCTAAAAATAAGCATAATGGCAACCAGTTTTTGCAAAG